GTCCAGTCCCAGCCGCAGGCAGCCTGGACCCACAGACTTGTGTGCCCAGGGAGGGTTTAGGACCGGAGCCCAGGCCCTTTTCCATATGAGTCTAGTGTTACTTCTGGGCCGTTTCCTGCCCCTACCAAAGACCCTTATGCTGAGGACTGTACCTGTGCTCTTCACCATTAGCACTGCATCACACTCCTTTTTATTATCGTTGCTCCCAATTTGATGGTAAGCTTGATAGAGTGGGTCAAATCATGTTTCCCACACAAGGCCTAACCCTGCCCCAGACATTGCTCAAGGAATCCTTGCATTCTGAAGACCAGGATTTGAGTCCTGGAAATACTTTGGTTTTGCTGAACTTCATTTCCTCATCTAGGATGAAAATGGTAATATTCACTTTACATAGTTGTAATTTGTTAAGATGTGTTGCAAGTTTTGCTCTTTTGCAAGTTCTGCGGGCAGCTTCTGAAACTCACTGTGAGCCACTGTAGTTTCTCATGGACAATTCTCGAGATTCCTTAAGTTACTGCTCCCTGTCTAAATGTAGTTATTCTAATTTTCTTTACCACTATCCCTTTAATTGCTCTGGTATCTGTTCCCTCCCCATAATTCCCATTGCTCTGGGCTTAGTCCTCAGCTCGCCTTCTCTCCCTTGGAACACTGCTGGGTGCAGGGGAGGCGCTGAAGCTGCGGTCGGGCACATGGCACATAGGCTGCTGCCTTGCCGGTTCAAAAACTGGTAAGCCAGAACCAGGAAGCTGCTGTGCACCGCAGTGGCTGGGCCAAGATTTTTTAAAGAGAACAAATGGATCAGCAGGTGGTGTAGTGATAAAGGCACTGAACTCCCACATGGTCAACCACGGTTCGGTCCCTGAACCGATGGCTTAAAACTCGCGCCAGGCATGTGTGCATGCATGTCCAAAATCCTGAGAGGAGAATGGAGGAAAAGAGATCGCAGTGTGACTATCTCCCCCGGGAGGTAATTTCTCACTTTCTGTCTCTCTGTGTCTGGTGAGCGCATGTACTCTATAGCAAAAATCTTTGCAGAAAAAGAAAGGAAGGAAACAAAAGATACTTGAGTAGAACTTAAAAGCAAGAAGTCTGCCTAGCAGATCATGAGAGGCAAAGGAAGTAAATACAACAATATATAAAGTGGAGGAAACAGCATTGCAGTATCAAAACCTAAAAGATAGGTACCAGATGGTGTCACACTGGTGGGACAGGAGGCTGTGCAAGGCTGACCCAGATGGGAGCGATCCAGGTTCGAGTCTGGAGACCTTCCTGAGCAGGCGAGGTGTGCACGTGCTCACAATCTGGAGCTGGCCGAGGCTGGGCGTGGATCCCAGTGCCAAGACTGTTAGGGTGTTTCATTCAGTCTCCCATGGAATGAGACAAAGTTTAGATTGAGTAAAAACATTTTTTTTTTTTGAGAGGTGTTTTTCTATAGGGCACGTGAGCTCGCCAGACAGACAGAGAGACATAGAGACAGAAAGCGAGAAATCACCCCCCAGGGGGGATGGGCGCGCCGCAATCCCTTCTCCTCCATTCTCCTCTCGGGATCTTGGGCACGCACGCACACGCGCCCGGCATGAGTTTTAAGCCACCAGGTCCTAGACGTGAACCGCGGTCAACTACGTGAGAGTCCAGCGACATAGCCATTACGCTAACTGCTGGTTCCCAGTAAAAACATTTTATGCTCTTACCATGAGATAAACCTAAGATAGTGGCAAAGTTTGTTGAGCTTTTTTTTTTTTCCTAACTTTAGGCCAATAGCTTCATTTATTTTCATTGATTTTTACCCCCATTATTTAGGAAGTAACTTAAGATGATTTCTTTTGAATACAACTTTGAAGTTAATAAATTTGAAATGAAAAAATAGAGAATTGTAAGTCATTTAGGGTCCAGTGTTTTGTTTGTTTGTTTGTTTTTTTCAGTTTTTTTTTTTTTTGAATAGAGGAAGTAAAGCTTTGGGAAATCTGAGGACTGGCAGGTGGCATGCTAGTTAAAGGCACTGAATTCCCACATGGCTGACCATGGTTCAAGTCCTGGACCTGGCGACTTGCTTTCTCCCTTTCTCTCTCTCTTTCTCTGTCTTTCTCTGGTTAACTTAAAAAATAATAATAATAGGGGCCAGTGGGTTGCATAGTGGTTAAGGGCAGTGGATTCCCACATAGCTGGCCGCAGTTTGTGTCCCAGACCTGGTGGCTTGCTTTCTCACTCCCTCCCGCCTTGCTCTGTCCTTTCTGGTCAAATTAAAAATAAATAAATAAATAAATAAATAAATAAAGCTAAATAAAATAATTCTTTTTTTTCTTTTTTCGGAGAGGTTTTTGCTATAGGGCACATGCCCTCGCCAGCCAGACAGACAGAGACAGAGAGACAGAAAGCAAGAAATCACCCCCCAGGGGGGATGGTCACGCCGCAGTCCCTTCTCCTCCATTCTCCTCTCGGGATCTTGGGCATGCACGCACACACACCTGGCCTGAGTTTAAGCCACCGGATCCGGGACTCGAACCGCTGTCGACTATGTGGGAGTCCAATGACATAGCCATTACGCTAACTGCTAGTCCCAATAAATCTTTTTAAAAGTGGAAATAAATAAATAATTATTTTTAAAAATTGAAAATAGGAAGATAGTGGGGAAAAAATTATATCCCTAAATTCTGTCAAATGGTTTGAAGGGCAATTTTGAAGGAAAAAAAAAAAATGGAGAGAATAAAGCCTTATGTGCTTTCTAGTCTGTCACAGAGCCAAGGAACAGATGGATGGCATCTCGCGCGTGTCACAAAGTTGCTATGACCTTGTTCCCAAATGCTGACTGACAGTACAGGAAAGGGAGCCGTGCTGCCTAGAAATGTGGACGTGAAAGTTTAATGTGAAATACGGGCCAGGTGGGCCAGCTGGTGGCATGGTAGCTAAGGTGGCTGTAACCCACACGTCTGACTGCGCAGTTTGAGTCCCAGACCCTGCAGCTTGAAAAACATTCTGGGCATGTGTGATGTGTGCCCGAAATCCCGAAAGGAGGCAGCAGTGGAGGAGAAGGGACTGCATGTGACCGTCCTCCTCGGGACCCGCTTTTTCACTCTCTCTCTCTCTTTCTGGTGTTATAAAGCTAACATACCATAAACTAGTAAAGTATGTATTATCCAAAAATGCTTGGATGGCTTAATGTCGTGTAATTCATCAAAATAAGAGTCGGGCCAGTAGTTGGTGCAAAGGTTAGGGCAGCTGGATCCCACATGACTGACTGACTGGTTCAAGTCCAGGACCTGGTGGCTTGGAAAATTTGTGGAGTGCACACACGTATGTGCCCAGAATCTGAGAGGAGAGTGGAGAAGGGATTGTAGCAACCTCCTGGGGGGCGATTTCTCACTCTATTTCTCTCTTTGTCTCTCTTGAAAGCATAAGTGCCCTATAACAAACTGAAAAAAGAAGAGTCACACAATTATCTCAAAAAGGCAAAAATGAGGACCAGCAGTTAGCGTAATGGCTATGTCACTGGACTCCCACGTAGTCGACCGTGGTTCGAGTCCCGGATCCGGTGGCTTAAACTCACGCCGGGCGCGTGTGTGTGCGTGCCCAGGATCCCGAGAGAATGGAGGAGAAGGGATTGTGGTGTGGCCATCCCCCCTGGGTGGTGATTTCTCGCTTTCTGTCTCTCTGTCTCTGTCTGCCTGGCGAGCGTACGCGCCCTATAGCAAAACACATTTTATTTTTAAAATGTTGCTAGAGGGCCTGTGTACTTGCCGAAGAGAGACAGAGAGACAGAGAGACAGAGAGAGGGCACGTGAGAAAGCACCCTCTTTCCACAATCCCTTCTCCGTCATTTCTCCTTGCTTTTGGGGATTTGGGTACTCCTGTACATGCTCTCAGCATTTCTTCCTCAAGCTGTTAGGGCTGGGACTCGAACCACACAGTCAGCCACGTGGAACCCAGCCGTGGTAACCACCATGTCACTGGCCCTAACATTCACTTCTGATTAAACAAAAAAAGAAAAATTCAAACCACAACCAACATTATACTTTAAAATGAAACTATGATCTGTTCTCATTAAAATAAAGAAGGCTTGTATATTAAAATAATAAAGCTACTACTTTTTAATGTTATTTTGGAAATTGTAGTTATGATACTATAAGAAAAATAATAGAAGTCACATAAAGTTAACATTCTTTGCAGATGATACTGTATTTTACATGGAAAATTGATTGTCAGTTGAAAAACTACTATTATCAATAAGACAGTTATGGTCGGTCAGGTGCTATGGGGGCTAATGGGACTGGATCCCACATGGCTGACTCCACAGTTTGAGAAACATGCCAGGTGCGTGTGTGTGCATGCCCAAAATCCTGAGAGGAGAGTAGAGGAGGAGGGGTCGCAGTGGCCACCCCCCCCAGAAGGGGGATCTTTATCATCCCCTCCCCATCTCTCTTGCACCCTATAGCGAAAACTTAAAAAAAAAAAAAAAAGAAAAAAAAGGAGAGAAACTAATTATTTGGTCAAATACAGAACCTACACAAAACCCAGAAGTTTTAATACTTACCAGCAAGTAACCATTTTGAAAACTTATGTCTATTCATAAAATGTTTAAAAAAAAACCATAAAATACTTAGGCATAAACTAGTGTAAAGGAAACTGTATGTTGAAGTCAGCCATTCTCCTTCTGAGTTTGAAACTCTTTGAGGATGTGGTGAGGGGGGAGAGAGAGGGAGAAAAGCAGGAATTGACAGATGGAGATTTGAGTATCATTTCTATTATTATTATTATTATTAAGTTTGCTATAGGGCATATGCACCTTCCAGAGAGAAAGAGAGAGAGAGAGACAGAGAGGAAGGGACAGTGAGAAAGCAAGCCACCATGTCCGGCACTCGAACCATGGTTGGCCACTTGGGAGTCCAGCCCCTTAACCACCATGCCACCTCCTGGCGCCAAAGATCACTTTTCTTAATGATCAGGCTAGATTAAGAAACAAGGCTTTAATCTGAGGAGGATAAATTTGTCTAGTTCATGCCTGGATGAGGCAGTGTCGCGTGCTGCGGTGTGTGGGCTCCGTGTATAAAACGTCCTCTCTGCAGGCGCTCAGCCCTCCACCCACACCCAAGTGGGGCAGGAAGGGTCGGAGGCAAATATGTCCGGTTAGACACTACTCCTCCCTGGGGCTTGTGGAAGGAGATGGAGTGAGGCTCCAGTGGCACTCCTACCTGGAAGTGGGTGGAGTTGTTCTTCCTTAAAACTTCTTTCCTAGGCCGGCAGGTGGCGTGGTGGTTAAGGTGCTGGACTCCCATATGGCTGACTGTGGTTCAAGTCCTGGACCTGGTGGTTTGCTTTCTCACTTTCTCTTTTTCTCTTGCTCTGTCCTTTTCTGGTCAAATTAAAATAAATAAATAAAGTGAAAATAATTCCTTCAAAACAAACCAGAATTTCCTTCCCTTCCTCTGAACTGGAGGGCCTTATTCACCCTTTGAGGTGGGTGCTGGCCGGGGTGGGGGTGGCCGCCCCTCCAGGGAGGTACACAGCCATCTGTCAGCTATCCCCACTCCCACCTGCACTGCTCGTCCTGTCGCTTGGTGGGTCCTTCCACGACACTGGAGGACAGAGTAAATTTTCCTCAGAAGGTGCTCAGAGGGATCAAAACAGGGCGACATTTAAATTAATTCCAAGGCAGCTTGGCACCCAAGGGTGAAGATTTCCTCCCTGTGTTTCATCCCAGATCTTATACAGGCACTTATTTATTTATTTATTTTTGAAGAGAGAGCTATTTGCTATAGGGCATGTGCACTTGCTGGAGAGACAGAGAGGCAGAAAGAGAGACATTACCATCTAGGGTTGATGACCATGGTACAATCCTTTGTCCTCCATTCTCCTCTCAGGATTTTGGGCAGGCATGCACACGTTCCCAGGGTGAGTTTTAAGCCTCCGGGGCTGGGACTTAAACCGTGGTTAACTACGTGGGAGTCTAGTGACATAAATATTATGCCATCTGCTGGTCCCAAATGGGCACGTTTTCTTCGGAAGTTAAAGAATGATTGCGAACAGGAGCCTTCACTGCTGTATCCTCAGCACTTTCAGCACTTCCAACAATGCCAGTATATAGTAGACACTTTGTAACTTAGTAATCATTTGTGGGAAGGGAGAGGTGTCACATGTAATGCAGAAAACGTCTTCTATTCCTGACTTTTTTTATTCTTTTTTGCTATAAGGGTGCATGTGCTCGCTGGAGAGAGTGAGTGAGTGAGAGAGAGAGAGAGAGAGAAAGAGAGAGGGAGGGAGGGAGAGTGTGTGTGTGAGAGAAGTCACTCCCAGGACTGCAATCCCTTCTTCTCTATTCTCCTCTTAGGATTTTGGGCACTCACAAACATGTGCCTGGCATGTTTTTCAAGCCACTGGGTCTAGGACGTGAACAGCCAGCCATGTGGAATCCAGTCTTAACCTCCATGCCACCTGCTGGGGACTTTATTTAAGTTTCTTTCTTTCATGAGAGTGAGAGACAGACAGGCACCCTCCGCAGGGTGGGTTTCCGTCCCCCCGCCCTGTACTACTCAGGGTCTTGGGCACACACTTGCCCAGCGTGTTTGAGGTCAACCCAGGACCCAAGCTCGAGCTTGACCAGGTGGCTTTCAAGCACTGCAGAGCAGCACTACCCCGCCTGCACCCTGACAGCTGGGCCCCTGATCTTACTGGTTACAAAGTAGTAAGAAAAAGGTAACAGTGAAAGGTAAGGTAAAGAAGTCACAAAGCTGCATCTAAAATGGCCAATAAGGGCCAGCAGTTAGCGTAATGGCTATGTCGCTGGACTCCCATGTAGTGGACCCCGATTTGGTGCACGTGTGCGTGCGTGCCCAAGATCCCGAGAGGAGAATGGAGGAGAAAGGATTGCGGCATGGCCATCCCCCCGGAGGGTGATTTCTCACTTTCTATCTCTCTGTCTCTGTCTTTCCTGCAAGTGCACATAGCAAAAACCTCTTAAAAAAAAAAAGGCAAATAAAAACAAAGTGTTATTTTCCAGTGCCTCAGAGGGACAGGCATTAACCAGCAGTGTTGTTAAGAAAGTGTAAATGATCACAACCTGTTTGAAGAGTAATTTGTCATTTATCAAAAATTTGGGGCCGGCAAGTGGCATGGTGGTTAAAGGTGCTGGACTCCCACATGGCCAACCATGGTTCAAGTCTCGGACTTGGTGGTTTGCTTTCTCACTTCCTCTCTCTCTCTCTGTCTCTCTCTGATCAAACTGGAAAATAATAATGATAATAATAATAAAGTTAAATAAAATAATTGTTTTAAAAAATATTTAAACTCTTGGGACCAGCAGATGGCATAGCGGTTAGGTTGCTGGACTCCCACATGGCCGACCACAGCCCAAATACTGGACCTGGTGGTTTGAAACTCATGCTGGGTGCTGTGCAGGCATACCCAAGATCCCAGGAAGAGAATGGAAGGGAAGGGATTGAAGCATGGCCTTCCCCTGGGAGCGATTTTGCAGTTTCCCTTTCACTGATGATGTTGTTCTTCTGGCCTCTGGAACTGTGAGAGAATGCACTTCTGTTGCTTTAAGTCACCCAGTTGCAGTCATTTGCTAGGACAGTCCCAGGAAGCTAAGAGTAGGTACGGCAGGGCCAGCAGGTGGCGTGGTGGTTAAGGGTGCTGGATTCCCACATGGCCGATTGTGGTTCAAACCCCGGAAAGAAAGAAAGAAAGAAAGAAAGAAAGAAAGAAAGAAAGAAAGAAAGAAAGAAAGAAAGAAGAAAGAAAGAAAGAAAGAGAAAGTTAAATAAAATAATTCTTTAAAAAAAGAAAAAAAATAATAAAGGAGGGGACCAGCAGTTAGCGTAATGGCTATGTCACTGGACTCCCATGTAGTCGACCACAGTTCAAGTCCTGAACCCAGTGGCTTAAAACTCACACCAGGTGCGTGTGCGTGCGTGCCCAAGATCCCGAGAGGAGAATGGAGGAGAAGGGATTGCGGTGTGGCCATCTCCCCTGGGGGGTGATTTCTCACTTTGTGTCTCTCTGTCTGTCTGGGGAGTGCATGTGCCCTATAGTGAAAACCTCCCCCCACAAAAACCAAACCAAACCAAACCAAACCAAACCAGAGTATGTAGCTTACCTGCAGCTTGCCTTCTGTGGCTGCTGCCCTCCCCAAGACCAGGGGCACCTGCAGTCCGTTGGCTGCCCCACCAACCGCTCCTGGAAGCAAGCACTCACCGTGGCAGTGAATTTTGTTTGGGGCCGGTCTGAGCAGGGTACGTTGGTATTTCATCTCCTGACCTCTCTGCCCCAGGTCCACGTCCCAGTGGCCTCTTGTACCTGGCTTGTCGTTCTCCCAGCTGGGAGCATCTTAAATGACTGGGAGTTTCCTGAGTGCCTTGTCTCTGTGCTTCTACTTTGTTCTATTAGCCACGCCCCATTCCTTCACCAAGCCTTGTGTCGAAGACCCCTTTTTCTCCTTTTTCTCGGAGTCTCTCCTGACCCCTTGTCCCCTCAGGAGCTTCTTTGCATACCCTCCACACCACCCACACTTTGCCATGGCCCAGGAACGCCTAGTGGTTACAGTTGGAGCCAGGGGACCGGAGATGTGAGTCTTGCATTTGTCACTCGCGGTGTGGCGCGGAGCAAGCTGCTGTACCTCTCTGTGCCTCAGCTTCCTCATCTGCACAGTGGGAAGTCTAGCCCATAGCGCTGTGTGTGTGTGTGTGTGTGTGTGTGCAAGTATTACGAGTAGTGTGGTTGAGTGTGGGGAGCAGCGCCGGGCGCCGGCGAGCGGTCAGTACGTGTGAGCTGTTACTGTAATGGCGTGTTTACACGTCTGACTCCCCCACCGCACGGAGATCCTTACATGTGGTAATTGTGTCTTTTTCTCTTTCTAGCTGCAGTGTTTTACGGACTTCTTGGCACATGGCTGGCTCTAAATAAGTGTGTGTTGAATTAATAATGATAATTAATGTAATTGCCTGCCGGGCTCCCACGCTGGGCCTGGGCCCCGTGCTGGGTCCACATCGTATGGGAGTAATGTAGCTGGGTTATCCGGCTCAGCGAGGCCACCAGGAATGTGAGCAGGGCGCCTGTAACCGAGGAGACCCGACGTGTGGGATCAGCCCCTGTCCTCGGGGAGCATAGGCTCTAGTGGGGAAGACACGGCTGTGAAGCACGTGGAGTGCTACATAGCAATATTAGGCCGTTTTTGTTTTTGCAGTATGGCGTGCGAGCTTGCTGTAGAGAGGGAGGGGAGGACGGAGAGAAAGCACCCCCATGGGGGATGGCCATGCTGCCATCCCTTCTTCATTTCTCCTCCTCGGGGTTTTGAGCATGCACAAGTGCCCAGCATGTGTTGTTTTGTTTTGTTTTGCTTTTAGGTTATTGCCACAGGGCACGTGCACTTGCCAGAGACAGACAGAGGCAGAGGGAAAATGGGGAAAGTGAGAAAACTTAGAAATCACCCACCCATTGGGAACCAGCAGTTAGCGTAATGGCTATGTCGCTGGACTCCCACGTAGTTGACCACGGTTCGCGTCCCGGACCTGGTGGCTTAGAACTCAGGCCGGGCGCGTGTGCGTGCGTGCCCAAGATCCCTAGAGGAGAATGGAGGAGAAGGGATTGCGGTGTGACCATCCCCCCTGGGGGGCGATTTCTTGCTTTCTGTCTCTATGTCTCTCTCTGTCTGTCTGGCGAGCGCACGTGCCCTATAGCGAAAACCTCTCCAAAAAAAAATCACCCCCCCATGCCATAATCACTTCTCTTCCATTCTCCCCCCTGAATTTTGGGCACACACCCACAAGTGCCTTTGTGGGAATCTAGCACCTTAACCACTATACCACTTGTTGGACCTACCCAGCGTTTTTTTTTTTTTTTAAATAAGAATTATTTTATTTAACTTTATTTATTTATCCACTTTTTTTTTTGGGGGGGGGAGAGATTTTCACTGTAGGGCGCGTGCGCTCGCCAGACAGACAGAGAGAGACATAGAGACAGAAAGCAAGAAATCGCCCCCCAGGGGGGATGGTCACGCCGCAATCCCTTCTCCTCCATTCTCCTCTCGGGATCTTGGGCATGCACGCACACGCGCCCGGCGTGAGTTTCAAGCCACCGGGTCCGGGACATGAACCGCGGTCGACTACGTGGGAGTCGAGCGACATAGCCATTACGCTAACTGCTGGTTCCCTATTTATCCACTTTTTAATTTTTAAATTGACCAGAGAGAGACAGAGTGAGAGGAGAGAGAAAGAAAGAAAGTGAGAAAGCAAGCCACCAGGTTTAGGAGTTGAACCATGGTTGGCCATGTGGGACTCCAGCGCCCACAACTACCATGCCACCTGCTGCCTCCCGCCCAGCGTGTTTGTAAAGCTGCTAGATCCAGGACTTGAACAGCTTGATTGGCCACGTGGGGGATCCAGCTGCCTTAATAAACACACCACTGAGGACCTGCAGGTGATGTGGTGGTTAAGGTGCTGGACTCCCACATGGCTGACCATGGTTCAAGTCCTGGACCTGGCAGCTTGCTCTCTCCCTTTCTCTTTCTCTCTCTCTGGTCAAATTAAAAATAATAACAAATAAAATTAAACAAGTAAATAATTCTTTTAAAAAAATAAGCGAAAAATATGCCCCTGGCTGGCCCACAATATTAAGTTTTAATAGCCATTTGTAGGAGCCATAGAAGATAGAGAAAATGTGTGCGAGTTGTTTTGGTGAGCAGCACCTTGTCATCTAACACCTCCTTCGTCTGCCCAGTTTGTTCTAGAAAGCTTTTTAAAGTTTTTAATAATGAAAGTTAGAGCTGAAGGCTTCATCAGGTTCAGGTTTGATCTTTTTTTTTTCTTCTTGTGTATTTCCCGCTGAAGACACATAACAGCTGGCTGTGTCTCTGGACCCAGCAGCCATCAGTAACCCTTGTTAGATCCATGATTCCATTAGGGCTTGTGAATGGGGACATTCTGTTTCTTAGTTGGAAACTTGTAAAAAGACAAACCTCCTCTCATTACCTGATGACTCTGAGATGCTCCAGGCTCTTCAAGAAAGGATGTAAATGACTGACTCTTTACCAGTTTTCTAAATAAGGAGTTGGTTTTCTAGCATACTTCAGAGGTGACCTATTAAAGCTTTGGGCTTTTTTTTTTTAAAGTTCGTTTGTTTATTTTGTCCGAGAGACGGAGACAGGTAGCCCCTACCAGTGCTGCTGTCTGCCGTCTGCCTGACTTAGCTGGCCCAGAGCACCCCCCCACCAAGTCCTCGGAAGGTGCTTGGACTTGAACCAAGGACCTTCCCTATGTGGGGCCAGTATGGTATTGCTTTGCAACTGCCTGGCCCCTGAGCATCTCCGTGAACTCATGGATTTTTTATTTTTTTAAGAATTATTTTATTTAACTTTATTAACTTATTTGGAGAGAAAATGGAGAGAGGGAAAGTGAGGAAGCAAGCTGCCAGGCCCGAGACTCGGAATGTGGTTGGCCATGTGGGAGTCCAGTGCCCTTAGCTACCGTGCCACCTGCTGGACCTGTTTGATACGTTTGGATCCACGTGATTGTTTCCCTTACGGATGCTTCCGTGGGCCCATCTTGGGCTGGTGGGAGCCTCTTCAAGCTGCCACGGAGACTTTGGAGGACCCTGCGATTCTCAGTTGGTTTCCCCGTGTGAGATGGAGCCAGGCTGGTGCACATTTCTCACCCCGAACCTGGAGTCAGCCCCTTCGAGGAGAAAGGGTACACGTTCTTCAGGCTGCTGGTACAGTGTCACCGATCACTTTCCAGAAAGGGGTCATCGTAATCACTCTCTTCAGCAACCCGGAGGTCCATTTTCTCCATACACTCCGTTATTTTACAGTTGTCGGCCTTCAGGCAAGCAGGTGGATGGAGGTTAAGGCAGCTGAGTCCCGTGTAGCTGACTACAGGGCTCCAATTAGGGCCCTGCGGCTTCAAAATCACGTGCAAGCCTGGCACATGGGTGTGCATGCCCAGAATCCCAAGAGGAGAATGGAGGAGACTGGGGGATGGCCATCTCCCTGGGGGAGTGATTTCTCTCCCTCTCTCCCTTCTCTCTCTGTTTTTCTCTCTGTAGGGTGAGCATACGCACCCTATAGCAAAAACAAAAATAAAATAATAAAATGGCTTTAATTTGATGGGTGAATAATTTGTTCTCATTTACATTTCTTTGGGCATTGGGGCATTGGAGTATCTGCTGATTTTTTTCTTTTAAGGGTTTTTGCCATAGGGTGGGTGCGCTTTCTGGAGAGAGACAGAGAGACAGAGACCGTGAGAGGAAAAGTGAAAAATCACTGCCCGGGGAGATGGCCACACTGTAATCCTTCTCCTCCATTTTCCTCCTGGGATTCTGGGCACAAACACATATGCACCTGGGGTGAATTTCAAGCTGCCGGGTCGGGGACTCAAATCACATTCAGCTATGTGGGAGTCCTGTGCCCCATCCACCATGTTACCTGCTGGCCCTCACGGATGTTTGTTCATTACTCTTATTTGTTTTGAAAAACTCCTCATGTTGTGTTGACTGTTGCTATTAGAATTTTAGCTTTTTTTTTAAAAGAGATTTTTGCACACACATGTGCCCAGCAGAAGTTCCAAGCCGTTAGGTCTGGGACTCGAACCGTCATCGGCCATGTGGGAGTCTAGCGATGTAACCCTTTACACCATCTGCTGGCCCCAGAATTTTAGCAGTTTTTATTGTTGATTTCTAATTCTTCGTAGGTCAAGACTAGCAGCCCCTCTTCTCTCTTTTGCTGAGAATAATGTCCCAGTTTGCTGTTTGCAGTTGAGAGTTGTTTGCGCCTCTCTTGTGTCGTCAGTTGTTTTCCTTTACAGAGCACAGAGCCTCCCAGCCTCTCTCCGGAGCGCCTTACCGGGTCAGCCTGGTAGTCCTCTCCAGGCGCAGGTCGGCACACGAGCACGCCTTGCTCTTGTTACTCAGCCTCGGTCTGTGTTCCTGGAGGCCAGGTGATCCTGGGCCTCACACCGAGACGGTCTGGGCCGTTTTCACCAGACTGGCCCGTCCTGGTCCTTATTCAAAGGTGCTTCGGCTTTCCTTTTTTTTTTTTAGATTTTTGCCATAGCGTGCCTGTACTTGTTGGAGAAAGAGAGAGAGAATATGAGAAATCACCCCCACCCCCAGGGGTGATGACCATACCGCCATCCCTTTTCCTCCTCTCAGGATTTTGGGCACACACGCACATGTGCACAGTGTAGTTTTTTTTTTTTTTTTTTTTAAGAATTATTTTATTTAACCTTATTTACTTATTTTAATTTGACTGGAGAGGAGAAGGGGAGGAGAGAGAGAGAGAGAGAGAGAGAGAGAAAGGGAATGTGAGAAAGCAAACCGCCAGGGGTCTGGTACTTGAACCGTGGTCGGCCATGTGGGAGTCTAGCATCCTTAACCACCACACCATCTGCCGGCCCCTGCACAGCATAGTTTTGAAGCCACTGGATCTGGGACTTGAACTGCTCAGTTAGTCACATGAGATCCAGTGCCTTAATCACCATGCCGCTTGCTGGTCCTGGTGCTTCCCTTTGAAACAGCTTCTGAGGGGAAAACTGACACTATGAGAAACTGCTAATCTGCACCCCTATTAGGAACACAAGTGGAGGGACCGGCAGTTAGCGTAATGGCTGTGTCACTGGACTCCCATGTAGCCAACCGCGGCTCGAGTACCAAACCTGGTGGCTTAAACTCATGCCTGGCACGTGTGCATTGCGTGCCCAAGATCCCAAGAGGAGAATGGAGGAGAAGGGATTGCGGCATGGCCATTCCCTGGGGGGGTGATTTCTCACTTTCTCTCTCTCTGTCTCTCTGGTGAGTGCACGCGCCCTATGGCTAAAATCACTTAGCTTGGTGGTCTAGGCAGTAGTCAGCTGAACTGCAGTGCTGGAAGCCACATGGTTGACCATGGGTTTGGATCCCTGGGTTGGCCTGAAAACCTGTAGGATGCATACACATGCCCAGTTCCTTATGAGCTGGAGGGCTATGGAAAGTGATCACAACCTGACTAGAACCCATCGGGGTGCTTCTCTCTCTCCCCTCTCCCTTTCTCTCCCTCCTGCTAGCTTTCTGTCATGAATAAAATAAATAAACTTTAAAAAAAGAACAGGATGATTTGCTCAGAATCCAGTCTAGGACCCAGGTCTTTCTGTATTTGGTAGTTGGTTCTCATTTGGCATCAGACTCTCGGAGGGATCTGATGGTGGTGCGGTGCTAACACGTGATGCTTTGTAAGGTGACCCACATGGGGAAGTCAGGGTTTGCATCCGGAGACCTCCCTGAGTGTGCTGGGCTTGCACAGACCAGTGAGCTGGGACTGGCTGAGGCTGGAGTTGGATCGTAGTGTCAGCACCCAACTGGGGATGCCACCCCTCAACCCCATCTCTCTTGCTCATGGAAGAAATGAATAAATACACTTAAACACTAAAAAAAAAGTCAGGGTCTTCTGTGCCGTGGCTGTCAGGGGAGCGAACCTCGCGTGACTGACTGTGGTTTGAGTCCAGCCTGTGCGTACAGCGCGCGTGTGTGCCCCAAGTCCTGACAGGATAGAGACATGGCGGAGAGGGGATTTATGGTGTGACCGTCCCCGTGGAGGATGCTTTTTCCTTCTCTGCTCTCTGTCTCTAGCTAGCAAGCACATGAGCCCTCTGGCATAAGAAAAAAAATCAAACATGGGCAAGCAGGTGGCATGGTGACTGTTACGCTGGATTCCCACACGAGCAATTGTGGTTCGAGTCCCAGACCTGGCAGCTGAAAAAAATCATACCAGGTGTGTATGTATGCATGCCCAGAATCCCAAGAAGAGAATGGAGGAGAAGGGATTGCAGCGTGGCCCCTTCCTCAAGGGAGGGTGATTTCTCACTTTCCCTCTCTCCCTGTCCCTCTCCAGTGAGCTCACATACCCTATGGCAAAAATCTAAAACAAACAATTTCTTTGAACCTTTTAGGAACAGTATTGCCTTTAGACAGATGTAAATAAGGTGGTCTCCTTTTCCCTTTGACAGTTCCAAGAACTCTGGGGTCTGGTGCACACAGGGCTTTTCCTCAGGACTTTTCTGGACACGGTTGTGTCTTTTGGCGCTAGACTCCTGCGGCTGGGTGTGGGCCCGTCCACAGGATTTCATGGTCTGTGCGCTGGCCTGGCCCTTTCTGGGAGCCAGTGCCCTGCCCTTGCTGGAGGAGCTGGACAGGCTTGCTGGATCAGGGTTCTGGGAAAGGTGGGTGGAAGTTGCCCGGCTGCCGTCCTCCTCGCCTAATGGCTCAGCCCGATTTTGGATGTCAGGAAGGGTAACGGCATGGCACATTTATCTCGATGAATAATGGATGAGCCCAGGGAAGGTACTGTACTCTTCCTGGTGAATTATTTACCAGCATCCTCTATTTGAGGCCCTTCCGTTATAAATGGCCTGAAGCTGGTAAATACAGAGCCCCTCCCCCTCTCCTCGCACCCTCCGTCTCCCACCTATGGATAAGCTGACCGCTCCTGTCTGGTGTTACCCGGGGCAGCCTATGGCCTGTAGCCACCGATGGAGGCCGATGGAGGCCGGAGTCCCTGAGCCTGCAGAGGAGGATAGGGGAGAGGGTGGGCGGTTCCCCAACGCGGGGCAGACCTGCCAGAGCAGCTGGGGCAAATGTGGGGCTGGGGCCTGCTCTGCAGGCGTGCAGAGCACAGTGAGTGCCCACGCATGAGCACTTGTGCATATGTGTGTGTGCTCTGTGTCTTTCTTGTCTCTTTCTGTGTCTCTCTGACTCTGTTATTTAATCTCTGTCTCTCAGTTTGTCTCTTCATGTCTCTCTGCCTATTGATCTCTCACTGCCCCCTTTGTCAGGGACTGTCTCACTTTGTCTCTGTTCCTCTCTCTCTCTCTTTTTTAAGGTTTTTGCTCTACGGCACATGGAGAGAGACAGAGACAGGAAGAGAGAAAGTGAGACATCACTCCCCAGGGAGGATGGCTACACTGCCACCCCTTCCCTCCATTCTCCTCTCAGGATTTTGGTGCACATGCACATGTACCTAGCATGCATATGCACCCCAGCGTAATTTCCTAACCACCAGGTTTGGGATTGGAACCATGGTCAGCCCTGTGGGAATCCAGCGCCTTAACCATCATGCCGCCTGCCGGCCCCTCTGTTTCCCCTTTAGTCTGTCAGTCTCCCCGTGTGTGTGTGTGTGTGTGTGTGTGTGTGTGT